TTTCTTTATTTTTGACACTTTAAAGAATCATCTCATCAGATAATATTGGTTTAAGTGAAATTGCTGAATAAATTGTCATCTTCTAAACGTTGCTGCGTATTTGCTAAAAAACATTCTTTAATTACCATTATAGAAATGTTGTATAATTATGATGTAAACAACTTTGTAACTAAGATATTCATTAATCAAAATAAGAATTAATTAAAGCCTGCACCCAGGGGATGAGTTACAGTCCCCTCCAAAAGTATTGGAACGGTTTAGGCAAATTACTTTGTTTTTGTTGTTCGCTGAAGACATTTGGGTTTGAATGTGAATACCAGGAAATAAAAGCTGAAATTCTGAACTCTTGTATCATTCTCATCTTTTGATCTTAAACCCAAATGTCTTCAGTGAACAACAAAAACAAAGGAATTTGCCTAAACCGTTCTAAGACTTTTGGTCTTTTGTTTGGTGACATGGATGCTTTCTCAATCTCTAGCACCACATGAAGTAAGTGCTTTGGGGAACAGAATAATCACAATTTGAAACCATAATGTTTAAATGTACTGTTGATATGAAAAAAGAAAAAAAATTTCGGTATGAAAAACAAAAGAGGCAGACCATCTAAAGGTGGACAACACGGTGGAAAATATTAGGCTACCTCATAGCCAAGATAACAAAAAGGCAGACAGAGTACCAGTCACTAAATAACGGACAGGGTTGCTCACACTCACCCTTCCTGCCCACCCATATTTATCAACATGAATCCCAATTGTATGTAATTACAGTGTTTCCCACAGAATGACAGCCTAACTGTGGCAAGAGAGGGAGCAACGGGGTGAGAGGAGATGCTGAGGGAATATATCCGCTGCACAGAGCTCTGTGCTGATTTTACCCATTTTAAATAGCAATCAAAAATCAGCGTTGATAATGTGGCAGGCCGCCACAAATAAATCAGTGTGTGGGAAACACCTACTGTAGAGGTTATCCAGCTTGATCTTTGCCTTTATTAAGACGAGGGCGTCAGCATCTGTAACTGAAGTAAAATTAATTAATGATATTGCTGAAGGTTGGAAATTCATAACGTGAGGCTACACGCTGCAACATTATCCTCACTTTGATCACGTTACAAGACCAGTAACAAAGCTCATAGGTCTCAGATATTGTTGACAGTTTAAGACGTATGCATATTATGGCATAATAGAGAAAGGGTTTAATAGCCAATGGTCCTTCATCCCTCATGGTCATGGTGATTTTGTTTATTTTTATTGTAGAAAATACTTATTATATGTTGTTATATTAACAACCCGAAACATACAATGACATTGAAACAGTATTAGATTACAAAAAAACTTAAAATAAAACAAACCAAAAGAAAGAAGGTAATTCAAGTCTCATTCAAGATACTAATATGCGTCTGTATTGCAAGGATCTTGCTAAATGTGGTTGATGGATTTTATCGTTTGAGAATGTGCTTTGCTTTAAATGTTGCCGCCGCAAGGAATTGTGGGACGGCATTTTCTCCTTTCCTTTCATAAAAGATGGTCCGGTGTACCCTATGCTAAAGGAGATATGAAAGGAAGCATTGAGGCTTCCTTTCCTCAGCTTTTAGAGAATTCGAATAGCTCATCATGGCTGCCACGGAAATACTTCCGGGTCACTTCACTCAGTTAGGAACCTTCATAAGCAAAAAAGACTTTTCGGACGTAGCCTTAGTCTCTGTTCTCTGGTTTTCCTAGCCTGTTAGATTCCCTCTGCTCCTACCTTGCCCCATGTTGTGAAACTTACTGCTGTTCAATAAACTGTTAAACTGTTAAAACAATACCTGACACATGGGGGCAGTACAAAATGTTTTTTTCTTTATCTTAAGTATCTTGCAAACCTGGTGGACCAGAGCGTTTTCAAAATTCAGCCTGGAAACACGCCTTTGCCACAGTATTAGCTCATTAATCCTTTTTGGGGACATCTCACACTAACGTTACTCCTGAAAAGAGAACAGAACAGCTAAGTTGCTGGGGTTCCTCCAGTCCACTGAACTGCAGCCACTTTGTCTAGGTCTATGGAGACCCCTTCATTCCTGGCCATTGGTGAATTTTCACTAACCTTTTGGAAGAAAATAATACTTTTTTCATGTTGTAAGTAAAATCTTACGAGGTAAATTATTACATGTTTAACCTTCAGGAATTTGTATTGGTAGAGCTCAAGCACTTAAAGTACACTGCTCAAAAAAATAAAGGGAACACTTGAACAACACAATGTAACTCCAAGTCAATCACACTCCTATGAAATCAAACTGTCCACTTAGGAAGCAACACTGATTGACAATCAGCGCTTCACATGATGTTGTGCAAATTGAATAGACAACAGGTGGAAATTATAGGCAATTAGCAAGACAGCCCGGATAAAGGAGTGGTTCTGCAGGTGGTGACCACAGACCGCTTCTCAGTTCCTGTGCTTCCTGGCTGATGTTTTGGTCACTTTTGAATGCTGGCGGTGCTCTCACTCTAGTGGTAGCATGAGACGGAGTCTACAACCCACACAAGTGGCTCAGGTAGTGCAGCTCATCCAGGATGGCACATCAATGCGAGCTGTGGCAAGAAGGTTTGCTGTGTCTGTCAGCGTAGTGTCCAGAGCATGGAGGCGCCACCAGGAGACAGGCCAGTACATCAGGAGACGTGGAGGAGGCCATAGGAGGGCAACAACCCAGTAGCAGGACCACTACCTCCGCCTTTGTGTGGGGAGGAGCAGGAGGAGCACTGCCAGAGCCCTGCAAAATGACCTCCAGCAGGCCACAAATGTGCATGTGTCTGCTCAAAGGGTCAGAAACAGACTCCATGAGGGTGGTATGAGGGCCCGACGTCCACAGGTGGGGGTTGTGCTAACAGCCCAACACCGTGCAGGACGTTTGGCATTTGCCAGAGAACAACAAGATTGGCAAATTCGCCACTGGCGCCCTGTGCTCTTCACAGATGAAAGCAGGTTCACACTGAGCACATGTGGCAGATGTGACAGAGTCTGGAGACGCCGTGGAGAACGTTCTGCTGCCTGCAACATCCTCCAGCAGGACCGGTTTGGCGGTGGGTCAGTAATGGTGTGGGGTGGCATTTCTTTAGGGGGGGGGGGGGGCACAGCCCTCCATGTGCTCGCCAGAGGTAGCCTGACTGCCATTAGGTACCGAGATGAGATCTTCAGACCCCTTGTGAGACCATATGCTGGTGCGGTTGGCCCTGGGTTCCTCCTAATGCAAGACAATGCTAGACCTCATGTGGCTGGAGTGTGTCAGCTGTTCCTGCAAGAGGAAGGCATTGATGCTATGGACCGGCCCGCCCGTTCCCCAGACCTGAATCCAATGGAGCACATCTGGGACATCATGTCTCGCTCCATCCACCAACGCCACGTTGCACCACAGACTGTCCAGGAGTTGGCGGATGCTTTAGTCCAGGTCTGGGAGGAGATCCCTCAGGAGACCATCCTCCACCTCATCAGGAGCCCAGGCGTTGTAGGGAGGTCATACAGCCACGTGGAGGCCACACACACTACTGAGCCTCATTTTGACTTGTTCTAAGGACATTACATCAAAGTTGGATCGGCCTGTAGTGTGGTTTTCCACTTTGATTTTGAGTGTGACTCCTAATCCAGACCTCCATGGGTTGATGAATTTGATTTCCATTGATCATTTTTGTGATTTTGTTGTCAGCACATTCAACTATGTGAAGAAAGGAGTATTTAATGAGATTATTTCATTCATTCAGATCTAGGATGTTATTTTAGTGTTCCCTTTATTTTGAGCAGTGTATAATTATAACTGGATTGTTTAGTCTTGGACTGTCCCTGTTGGGGACAGAGCCTATACATAGGTATTGCAAAGTGTTAATAATGTAAACATTAACAGATTTTGAGCACAACACGTGATAAAAAAAAATTAGAAATGTTACATTTTTGCACCCAATTTACAAATTAACATAAAACACGCAAAACTTTTAACATAGTTGAAACGGAGCTCAACAGGGTGGAATGACTATCAATTTCTCAGTTAGTTTCAACAGGAACTTTTACATTAACTCAACATTTTAAATAGAAAATACATTAAACACTTTAAAACATACAGAACATTAAACGCATTAAAAAAATGCTCCTACCCCAACTGAGAGACAAACACTGTGTAAATGCATATCAAAAACACAAGAGGGTGTAATACTTGGTGATGGCTGTGATGCTGATGAGTTAAAGCCAATTTAATGGATATTTAACTATATCTATTAAAAGGGTTACCTTTTTATATATTGTTAACTTACCTAAACAGTTTAAATGACAATTTTTTTATTAGCATTTATATGCATTTCTTTACATTTTGTAATAGATTTTCCACTGTGTTAAGTTTATATACCCAACAGTGTGGATATTTTTATTACTCAGACGGCAAACTTTAGTAAGATGGCTCTACACACACACACACATAGTACTTCAGTATAGATAAAGTATGGTTGTTATTTTTGATACATGTGGTGGATGACGTCATAAAACTTGCAAATAAGGCAGGCAAAGTCGGTTTTGTTTAGAAGGCAAAAACAAACAGGGTGGAACACAGTAAATTATAAAAATAAAAAATGTTTACATTGATAAGATATTTAATGATAAACATAACTTAATGCATACAATAATAAAGGTATATTTATTTAGAATTTTTTTGCAAATGCATCTCATTGAAAGCTTTGGAGACACTAAAAAAGTGGTCTATATGCCCCTTGGTTAAATTTTTTTTTTTGTGTTAATGTTATAAAGACCTCCATGTATAATAGCCTTTTGTAATAACCATTTCATTTATTTCAAGTAAAATATTTAGAGGCCAGGAATGTTTTCCAAAATAATTCATGGTTTTGAAATGAGATGTCACAAATGGGTGTTTTGTCCACATCATAAACATGTATGAAAGGTTGAGTGTTGTATGCCTTATGAGATTACAGGCTGTTTATAAATGGAAACATTGGTCCATGCTATTAATTCCAACAGACGACAACAAGCTGCATCACCTTCCTTTATTAGAAATCTTCACTTTGCTGTAGTTCAGTTTACATCACTCTGGCCTCAAATAGGCCTTTGTCGCAGAAGACATATTTCTGAAGTCACAAGTAGGAAGTGGTGTACATAATACAATGAATGATGGCTAAATTCAATTAAACTGCTGTAAAATAAGGCATTTGGACTGGTGTCAACAAAAAACGGCTTCAAACAGAAAAAGTGGGCCCACACAGATGATGAGTGCGCCGAACATACTGAAACTCAGTACAGCACAACAAAGCTGGGCAGGATTGATGAGATACTTGTGTATGGAAATCTCCTCTCTCAATCTCTTTCACTGTGGTCTAACTTTGCATCTTTGAACAACAAACAAACCAAACCCAACCTAAGCAGAAATGTATAGTGCATATTATTAGTTCTGAAATAAATGTCAAGACAGTGTCTGAACTTTAAACCAACACTTGACCGATAATTATGCCACAGACACAAGGTCTAAAGAGAAGAACTTTGCAAACATTCATTTTAAACTGAACTTTTCTCTATATGGGAATCCTAGGTGGAAGTCGACAGTGTTTTTCAGTATTCCAGTATACTTTAAAGTCTGAAGTGGGAAGCTGTCAGCATTTCAAATGAGTTTTGTCTTTTTGCACAGTTGCTCGTGGTAGTAACTGGCGCAGCTCAAAGGAAGAAGAGCTTGTCCCATAGTTGGACGGCCGGCTCTAAGTGCAGGTACTGGCCCGACAGGAAAGCCAGTTTGTGGGCATACTTGCATGGTGCTGGAACACGAATAGTGCCCGGCCAGTTCCAGTACAAATGGCACATCTTGAAAGTTAGCCTGGTGAGGAACCAAAGCAACATTGTTAAATATTGGATCTGAACTGAAAACATACCACAATAGCAACACGTGACCAAACAGCAAGGTCGAGCTCAGAAATGTATACTTAGATTTCTTTGCAAATCACGATCGAATGAGCAGAAAAGACATTTTCCTCTGTGTTTAATACAGTGCAACCCAATCTTTTCATTCAGAAGCTGCAACCTGACTTTAAAATCCACAAGACAAGCTGGTGAGGCAAATTAAACTTGCTCGAAGGCAGAGGGTCTTTGTGAACAATCATTTCTCAGACCCTCTACGTCTGCAGGCTAACCACAGGGATGTCTTCTCTCTCCCCTCCTTTTCATTATGTATACTGACAGATGAGACAGAACATTTACAGTACTTTTTCTGTCAATCATTTTATCATCATTTCAGCAACCTCTGCCCGTACACAGATTGCGCATGGAAATGTGTTTGGTGGGTGGGGCTTTGGTAAGACCCTTTGAAATCAGTTTATTTTTGTCCAGATTCTGTGTTTTCTGTTTTCAGAAACAACAACACAAAGCTAAGGACAGAGGCAGTGTACCTGTATATGACATCTAAACAGAGCAGCAGTTTTTTTCCCTGTTAATTTGGCTAAGTGCGGGGGAGGGGCAATGTATTGCGTGATATTGTCCAGAAATCATAGGGCCCTACTTTAGAGGGACGCCTGAAGGGAGGAGGTGGGATTTTATTATTGGATACTTTCAAAATGTCTCACTAGTTCTCCAACGTTGCCTACCCTAGCTTTAATATCGTCTTTGTGTTACAGTTGCCACTAATAATGCTTTTCTTTAATAAACGTCAATGACGACTGGCCTAGAGAATATTTTTGCCAGCTGGCTAAAAAAGGTTGCTCTCCCATTACGACAGCATATAAACAGAATGCTGATTAATGTAAAAGAAATAAAAAAGGGGTTATCAATACCTTTGCAAATGGTCTGGTGTGAGGTTTGCCGTGTTGTACAAGCAGATGTAGTGTGTAGGAAGTCCACAGCCCTGGCGTATGTGATGTGCCATCAGATAGAAATCCACCCTGAATGAGAAAACAGGCAAGAAAAATAATAAAATAAACTGACAGAAACTTTAAAAAGCCTTCTGCCGACACATTGAAGTTTCACAAAGAATGGATTGCGGCCGCTGATACAACCATAAATCAACCGCTTTCTGCCCCGTCTCAAGGTCCGAATCGCAACAAGTATTGGCCGTTCATAAGGTTCTCCAGAGTGCAATGTGTTCCGGGTTCACCAAGTCTGACCAGCGTGTTATTGAAGATGACGGATCACCTATTCAAAAACTTGCCGTTAAAAGGATCCTGCTAAAGGAGCGAATAACTACATTAAACTTGATGCAGCACCTGCGGGATCACCACCCAGCTTACGCGTAAAGGTAGGCCTAATACATTATATTAAATAACGTAGCAAGTTGGTACGGAATTATACATATAACCGTATCACTTACAATCGATGCCGTATCGGTGAGAGTCGAGCTTTCAGTGTAACGTAAACAAGCAAAGCAGGTGTAAACGTTCAGACATACCGCAACAAGAGTGGTTTGTTGCTGCGTCAAGCAACGTGCCCCGCACGGCGAGCTAGCGCGCATGCCGCGGTCAAAGCAGTAGTACTTTTGCGCTGAGCAGCTTCCACGCAGTGCAAATCGCTTCTTTTCTTAAAAGGGCCTTACAGGGTAGTCCTCTCAAGACCTTCAGTCACTTTACCTTTAACGTTACATCCTGTTGCCTTCTCCTGTCTGTGGTGAGAAAATGTTGCCAGGTGTAAAACACTAACACAACATCAGGAGCTTGTAGACTTTCAGGACTACAGGCTACCAATTCACTGCATTTCAGTTAACACTGCACTCAATTTCTCGCTCTCATTTTCACAAAAACATGTATGGATGAGTGTTGATGACTGTAACAGTACCAGTTCAGTTTATTCCCCTCCTTTAAAACAATTTCCCCTGGGGGATAAAAGTTAATATTCCTCTTATATTAATAATACTTACATATTATAGAAATATAATTGTTAATGTAATTAAATATTAAAAATCACCTTAAGTCATTACTAGTGTTGTGAAATTAAATGAATAATAATCATGAAACCGTGATTATTTCTCTGACAATAATCGTACCAACAAAATCTGTTATCGCTGCATCTCTAGTAATCTCTGTTCTTAAGATGTACTGAGGTAGAACATCACACAATATGGTTAAGCATTGTTGAGTCAAAAAAATGTAAGTTATGAAGTTTGTTGGGACCACAGGAACTCCACAGGTGAATTTGTTCATTTGTGTGATTTAAACTGTGTGATTTTAAAGGTCCAGTGTGTAATATTTAGGAGGATCTATTGACAGAAATGCCATATCAATAACTACGTTTTCAGTGGTGTACAAGGCCTTAGATAATGAACTATGTTTTTATTACCATTTCTATCTACATAACAGCAGGTCTTCTTCCATGGAAGTTGCCATGTTGGTTGCAATTGGCGAGCGTGACCTACGACCCATGACGTCGCCTTGTTTTAGATGGCTAAAATACATTTTGCTGATACTTCTCTAGAGTGGGATGCACAGACTAACATCTGCTGCAGGTAATACACCAACTCAGTAAGTACCTCATATAATAATGGACAAGCCCACACATGAAAGGCACATGCTAGGTAGAGTAAAGCTGTGTTCACACCGAAAGCGAATTTCATATTTGCCTCGCTTTACTCGCGCAAGTTTGACCGCTGGACATTTTGAGTGTTCACACACACACGCACACACACACACACACTATATACAATAAATGGATCAAACTGATGCCAAAATAACTACAATATGATGCCGTTTTGTTAGACATATGAATTCATGCTTTGTCAGGTCTGTCAGCAAGTCAGCAGGACGACAACTTTTAAAATGTTTGTTTTCTGAATGGAGTTTGGATTGATCAGAGCTATGCTATGCTAACCTGTTCACAGTAAAGTACAACGATAGCGGGAATAAAGTTACAGACACATTTCCTGAACTCACCAGGTAGTTCAACTTCCTCGCTTTCTTTTTTCCAAGTAATGTCCAGTTTTTATATAAATATGAAGTAGTAGTCCAGCAGACCTCTGGTGCCATCCGACGCCAACAACAGCAGTGGAACCGGATGTGCACGGAAGCTAGCTGCCGAGAAACGCGAGGGAAGATAAATCAAGTTGTAATCCCAAAAACTAAAGTAAAAAGCTAATTAATTTAATAAAAGCAGTTAACTCTGATCTCCTCACGCAGGTATACGGCGTAGTTGTCAGAGCAGAATCCAGACAGACTATGGGGGTTTATTTCTCCGAAAGTTGCAGCGCTGCTCTCTGTACACTTCCCCATTCTTTGGCAGCTCCCTGTCGGCCTGCAGAGTGAATTTGCGTCTTTCCATCGACTTTGTATGTAATCAAGCCGCCCAAAATTGCTGGATTCGCTTTTGGTGAGAACGCACCTTAACTCGCACCCTCTTTTTTCCTAACTAAGGGAGGCTGCTACTACTGTGATCATTTTCAAAAACATCAGAGTAACATCTTGACATCTGTAAGGCTTCAAATTGGAAATAAAATTAAGAGCTTAAAAGAGGCTTTAACAACAACTCATTCACTTAGACTAAAACTGACCAGTCTCGCTGAGTGAGCGTGTGATCCAGAATGGTTCCAGGTGGAGGTGTGCCAAAGTTGTTTGACGCCGAGGAGTAGAGGGTGGTGCTGATGCGCTTTTGGACCACAATGAAGACCAGCTTGGGCTCATAGTTGGGGAAAGTCTCAAAGGATTTGATCAACTGAGGGATCTCGTACTGCTCCACCATCTTCAGCTGACCATCTGACACGCCGTCCCGATATACCACAATCTTGTCTGGCAAGTTGTGGTTCACCTGTACAAATAAATAGACACGAGTGTTATGTCAGGCGTGCGTTATCCAAAAATTGTAGTTTCGCTCCCACTGCAATGCATTCTGAGTGCGTTTACACATTTTTATTATCCAAAGAACATCCACACAGAGATCACCTCTGTAAAATCCACTGTAAATAGGGCACCAATATCAGAAGGTCTATATTGATCAGTAACTCTGGTTAGAAGTTTTTTTTAAAAAGGGCCTTGCACTTGATATTCTACTGAGACACCTTGAGAGGAAAAGAGACGACAGGTCATCGACAACAACAGTTACCTCATAGCACTTTTCATAAAAGAGCAGGTCCAGACTGTACTCTGTGATGCTATTTACAGAAACCCAAAAATTCCCACCAAGAGCAGCACTAGGCGACCATAAATTGGTCCTTTTAAGAGGCAGAAATCTTGAGCAGAACCACGGCTCAAGGTGGGCGGCCATCTGCCTCGACGGGTTGGGGTGAGAGAGAGGGAGAAAGAGAAAGAATATACACAGACGTACAGACAGTAAATGTAATGTTGCTATGACTGAATAATTGTACAGATCTGTGACTCTTGGCTGAAAAAAAGATTGTGTGGTTCAGAGAGGAGGGGAGCTGAATGTCAAGACATGTATGTAAAGCATGTTGGCAATATTTACCTCAAAATATTTCTGCAGTGCGGCCAGTAAGCAAACTCTGAAGCCATTGATCAGCTCCTCAGTGGGTGTCTGGAAAGTTACTCTGGAGTACCAGCGGGTCATTGAGCTGGAGAAGAAAAAGACAAATGCATTTCTATTGAGACATTACAATTTTAACCAATGTTTCAAGAGAAGAAGTCTCTTAAACACAAGAAGTTTTAGCACTAATCTGCAGATTGAACATGTTTAGTTTACGGATGTTCCAATAGACTGTAAGAAATGGGGTGGCGGGTGGGGAGGTTACCTGTTCACACTTGCAACAAAGCCCATGACTGACCGATGCGACTTGCTGGTGTCATGGTGGACATCCACTCCAACCACCATCAAGTTTTTCTATTCAAATGAGACAGAGGTTCACTATTTCTCCACTGACAGCGGTAATTTTTATTATTTTAATGCTGTTCCAATGATAGTGTGTGTGTGTGTGGAGGTGGGCTTGGTTTGCATTCAGCTGCAGTGGGAGGTGGCTCAGGTGAGCAGAGCCAGGGAGAGCAAACTGCTGCTGTTCATTGACTAATTATGCTCTCCCTCTAAATGCAGTAGTGTGCTGGACCTCAGATGTCTACTGCCAACCTACACAACACACAGAGACACAGTAGAGACGGCCGTGTTGGGAGCTTTTGTTAGTTTGAGTTGAACCTCGTCAGCTGGATCAGAGGGACCAGCAGGAGCGGGTCGGGTCGGGAGGACTTTGAAGAATCATGTTGAGTGAATGTCTGAATGTAAAGTGTATAACAATTTCTCCGTGTCAGCGTTTGTGCTGGGGCATCCTCAAGCAGTTGCTTGCTACAGTGTAGTACAAATTTTCTCCTGCCAATATGATGCATCGTTTTCACAAGTAGCATTATGCATATTTAACAGCGGCTACCACTTTACTGGTCAAAAGCCACTCATCTTCTTGCTCTTGTGAGACCCGATACTCACCAAAGGAACACTGACAGTCCACAGCTCTCCTCCTAACTTGCTGTTTATCTGCAGGAGTATCTTTTGGGCAACACCCCTCAACTTCTGCTGCTGGGAAATTGTCCGGACATTGATGGCCTGATAACAAATAAGTGGTAAAATAGTTTCAAAAGAAACAAACAATTTTATTAACAGATTAGGGCTGGATAATAGAGGGTATGCGCATGATGTCACAGAACGCAGTTACGCTCACTGAGTGGCAGAAAGACGAGCAGCAGTGTTAGCTTGAATCAGCTAAAACAAACACATCTAAAATGGGAAAGAGCTGGAAATTCAATAAATGTTTCATTTTATTCACTTGAATCATACATGAAATAGGACTTAATTATTATTATTTTTTATTAAAAGGAGACCTATTATGCTTCCATATTTTGACTTATCTACAATGTTCATGATATTCATGTTAAACATGGTCAAATAATTCAAATAATGAAGTAAAAGTATTTAAAAGAAATCCCTGTGTGCAAAAACCTCAGATTTCCTCCTGTTCTGAACGCTCTGTTTTGAATTGCTTTTTCTACCAACGCCTCAGTTTGATGACATACGGCGCAGGTATTCCATATACGGTCATTTGCTCTGCACAGCAACGCTCAGTCTGTCTGTACCGCTCAGCAACGACAGCCTGGTAACATGGTTCAGGTCTTGGCCAATCAGAAGACAGTGGGCTTTGAGAGGGGGGGCTTAAAGAGAAGGAAGCATCTACAGCTTGTTTCAGACAGAGGCTGAAATGAAGTCCTACATGAAGGGCCAGTATAAGACAGATATTTATTTTTTTTTTACTTTGAATCATGCAAAGCTGCCATACAGGAGTCACAGAACAATAATAAAGGACTGGAAATGCAGTATAATAGGTCTCCTTTAAGATGTTGATTTTGTTGAGGAAAAAGGACCAGAAAAAGGTAAGTTCTTGTATTTTCGCATTCTGTTACCACAACTCGGAACGGCACAAACGCGAACCATTTCTTCTTCACTTGTGAGCAACTCCGCTCTTCACTCTTCACACACTACACTCCTCCCACCTGCACACTGCTATTTACCTTTTCCCGGCAACAACTGAGTTCCCACGGGCCGTCTAAAACACTAATTAGGTGAATTTAAACAATGGCTAAGTTGCTACACGCATCATGTTGTCATGTAAGGGCCCTGTTCATGTTGGACAGACATATTAATTGCATTTTGTGTCTGTTAAGAGGCACAAAGACACTATGTATATGCCCCCATAACTGCCGTTTTAGCTGAGTGGGAGCTCTGGGCATTAGCTGTAGCAGCTCCATGCAGGCACCAATCAGGTTTGTTTTTTTTCTATAGACAGTACTCACCAAAAGGTATAACGATCAAGATCAACTTAAAAATTGCCAGGAGTTCTCCTCTAATTTTACTCACGCATATTTGCTGACAAAGATTTTATGATTGTTTTGAATAATGATTTGATACTTATCGTGATGATTATTGATATTGAAAGATATGAAATGTTTTATCGTTATTGACCTAACTGGTTTACTTCAAATCTTATGAGTCATCTTCATACCTCCAAAAAGTGCATGATGTAAACGGAAGCTGTCAGTGTTACCTTCTCTTGTACAAACACTGCATGCTGTTCTGTGTTCAATGTGTTGTGTCTACAGACTATTCGCTCACTGCACATGATAACAAGTTACCGTAGTTTTATAACCCAACAAACATATTTTGTGCCTTTAAAATCCGGCAGTTGTCAAACTGGATGTAAAAGTGTTTCAACAGGAGAAATGTTGTAGACTCCCGCAAGACTCATTGAAGTTACCATCACTGTCTTGTTAGAACTCATTTGTATTCATGTACATTGTGCATGGGGTCATAGTTTATACTTTTTAATGTTTAATGCAAACGCACATTTGATTTAGTTTTCATATGTTTACATTAGCTATTGGCTGTTATTTTATTGTTGCATGACAAATTGATGCTAATTTTATTTGTAGTTTTCAATATAAAACTAGCTGAAATGGTTTCAGTGCGTGTATCAGTACCTTTTGAACATTTAACACATTTTAACAATACTGTGATAATACTGATAGCCGCGATCATTCTGGTCTATTTAATCGTGATGTGAAATTTTCATACCGTTTCATCTCTCAATTACAAACCTGAGACGGGATGGGACTGTTGATGCAGCAGAGCTTCTTGATGGCGCTGTAGAGGTCGTCTCTGTTGCCGACCATGATGCACACTACGAGCTGCATATTGGGCTGTAAACAGACATGAAAACTCACAATGGACTTTCATTGCATTGCAGGCTTAGTTCAGCTGTACCAGATACTCTAAAATGTGTCATTATGGTCAAACTTGAATTTCTTATTTGCTAAACATCACAGCTTTCAAAAGTAATAAAGAAAGATGGATCATGCAAAACAGATACTGGGAATTTAGTTATATTGTGCATGGTTTTCCAGGGAGCTGCCTGGAATTATAAGTTATAATTTACTAGTGTTAATGTCTTTGCAGTTGGTAGCTAATGGGATAAAACATGCAACATTTTTAAAAAGGGCTTTACAATAACACTCATGTTTCCCAAGGCAACCAGACTTGAACCACTTCCCCTGCTTTTACTGATCTACAAAGAGACAGAACTTTTTTAGATGGCCTAAAATTAACTAATTGAACATTTTACTTTGATTACGATTAATGAATGATTATTTTTCTTTTGGTATTCTTGTTTTTTTTTTTTTTCCCCACTGACAAGTTATATACTGTAAATATGCTCAACATTTGTTTTTAGTGTCTTTTATGTATTCATTTATGTTTTACTGTAGAGCACTTTGTGTCCGCATGGATTATAAAGTGCTCTATAAATAAATTTTGATTGAACAATTAAAGGTGGGATATTTTTTTCAATTTATAAATGTCAAAAATTGATCTAAATCTTAATTGAGAACATAACGCAAAAGGCAGACCTCGGAAGTGCAGTGCCAGGCAGTCTATGGCGTGCACATAATAGATGTGTGCATGAAGAGTGCTGCTACTAAAATTTCACACATAATATTAATACAGCTACTTGCAGATATATCCGCTTCGGCGTTTATAACAGCCGATATGACTATTAGAAAATAAGCACTCTGATCCTTCCCTCATGTCATAAGTGTTGCGTAGTTTTCCCACCGGAAGGCGCTCAGCAGCTCCTCTGTTCAAAATACTGCACGCCAGAGAACAAAACATCAGCTGACCAAAGTCTGCCGGAGCTATGGTGAGTAGCTCCTGGTGGCTCTCACACTTCGTGTTCCCGGTGTGTTGGTCTTTTGTCAATAACATGGACTTAAATAATAAAAATAGCCCTCGTCACTTCTCTTCCACGGAGACCAGACTTGCTAACCCTCGCGTTTTTCAGGTTCAGCAGTGTGTTTAATGTTACTGTAGTAGATTTATTTCTGAAACCGTGTGGCAGTTCTAGCAACAAAGCTAACGCCATGTTTATCAGTGGAGGAGCGCCAACATTCACGAGCGATTTAAATTATAATGTTTGACGTATTCTAAATATATCTGCGAGTTTCTTGTCTCTAGTTACAGTCAGTGTGCCAGAAATGATTAAATCAGAGCAGACTTGTGAATAAACATGAGCTGAATAAGTATCCAACACGGCTTCCTGCCTAACAAAGTTCTAGTAGTATTAGATTAATTCAACAGCAGTTTCCTCTGCGTCACTGTGACATCATAGACGGCATTTTTAGAGCCAGATGGTGGTTAGGAAATGGTTTCTGTAGCACTGGATAGAATTAACAGAGTGCTGGTGATAAACTAGATGTAGAAATTTACGTTCATTAGCAGTAATACTGTATAATTTATAACATTAGATTTTTGAAAAATGTTATTTGTAGTTTTATACATTTGACTAATATATTTTGCTGCACTTTTGTTCAAAGTACCATTTCTCACAGTAACGGTTTATTTTTAAACTGCATTATGTGGTGTACCATGGTATCTTGGTATAGTCTCAGCATAAATGTCAGGGATTGTTTTTGTTTATGTTATGCGTTTCTTAAAGGGGCGGCTGTGGCTCAGGAGATAGAGCGGGTTGCCCGTTAATTGGAAGGTCTGTTCAATCCCCGGCTCCTCCAGGCTGCATGTCGACGTGTCCTTGGGCAAGATACTGAACCCCCGAATGGCCCCTGGTGTATGAATGTGTGTGAATGTTAGTTTCTGTTTGAGCACTTAGGCTCAGTGAATGAATGTGCGTGACTGGTGAATGCAGATGTAGTGTAAAAGCGCTTTGAGTGGTCAAAAAGACTAGAAAGGCGCTATACAAATATGGAGCATTTACATTTAAAATAAAGGGGGAAAAAAGAATATCGGTCAATATATCGGCATGTCTGTTTTAAAATTGGCATTGGACTTAAAAATCTCATTCTCGTAATTATACATGTTTTTTCTGTCAGTGTACACAGATTCTGTGATTCTGAATGAGCAGAAAACCTGCAGAAACACAGAAGCTAGTAAAGACTATGAGTTTAGTAACGGAATTAAAATGAGATTACTGAGGTTAAAAGGTTCCACGTGCACATTTAAAAAGAGGTTACTTAATATTAAATGAGATAAGTTGATCTACAGGAGAAATATATCTGAAAACAATTCAGAATGCCCGAGAGCTGCACTCACTTATATTCTGTTATATTTTGAACCTGCCACCTGAATTTTATTTCCCTTCCATAAATTAAAACATTTCTCCACCATAAATTGGTGCAGACAAATTCACCAAAATGCATTAAATTAATGGTTTAATACTCAACATTTTCATATAATTTAGCGTTGAAGATTTCTTTAAAGAATCCTGGGTCTTGTCTCGTGAGCCAAGTGTCTCCTCACACCCTTAATATTTAGTCAATATGCCTTAATGTGGCTCAGAGTAGCTTGTCTTTAAATATGTTGGCATGTACTGAAGTCAACATCAAATAGCAGAAACACGGATGCTCATTAAAAGTGTTAACCTACTATTTAATCTGTTTGTTTTATGTCATACCTCACTGGAAATCTGAGTGTGGATACTCTTGACGTAAGTCTCAGTGCGATCGTCCCTCAGCTCCACACTAATGGGTCGATGCAGTCGCATCCCAATGGGCCCGGCCACTTTGTTAAAGGTGGAAACCAGCTCTTCAGCCTGCTCTGCACAGCGGCGAGGGTAGAAGATTGACCAGGTGGTCAATGGGATCTAAGAGTAAGATGGGTCAATTGGTTAAGAAACAAAGTAAATATAGCAGCCATTCCTGAGGCCGAGACAAAATTACACACTGATGCTTAAGGAGGGCAGGTAGAAAGTGTGGCCACCGTCACTGCAGACAGTTTGGGAATTTGAGCTACACAGATGATCAGCACAGCACATCAAAGATGGAAAAATACCACCCTCTGAAGGTTTTGGTTGTTGTGTTACAGCTAAAACTATATTGATCAAAATGAGGGGGCATCAAAAGAGATTTCTCTTCAACACTCACAGAGCTGATCGAAGCATCCCTGCAAATCTCTCTGGACCAGGATGCATCAGCACCAGTGCCAAAGGATGTGGACTGCAGACTGATGGTTTCAACAGGCAGAGTTCTAGCTTTAAGCTGCAAGACGGGACACAATACACAGCCAAAATAAAAAGGAAGTGTGGTAACAAGGCCACCACAGACAAGGAACACAAAGTATAAAAGCTAGAGCAAAACAATACCAAAGTACATTAGATTTTACTGTCCTACCAACCTGCTTCACCACTGCGCACCTGTCGGACAGTCAACCAGCATTTAAAATATTTTATTCAGATATGGTTGTACTTCATGCTTTTAAACGGTGTTCCTCAGGACCAGACTTTCTTTGAGTCAGTCCCCAGTTCACATTTTAATGGGCTCTGGGACCCTGATTGTTAAACACGGCAATCCTCATTTTACAGTAGACCGATATGAAAAAGTGGAATGTGGCTTAACAATACAGTTATTAATACAAATATTGCATTTATCAGTATTATACAAAAAAGCCCACAGACGCGCTGTATCACTGTCTTCACATGTTTCATTCTTTGCATTTATATGGACATAAAATGAGTTTCTTTTAATAACAAGAATATATGTACAGTATTAACAGCTGAACCTCACCACCAGGATTTCTGAGCAAATCTCGAGTCCCCATCGGCTGAGCTCCTTCTGACTCTCAGCGTTGGTGCTGATGTTCTTCAGAAGCTGTTTTATTGATTGGGTGTGCTGCTCACTGCTCACATTGATGTGCATGGTCATGTCCTGCAATATGTGAAAGAGTTGGTCTCCACAACTTCCTTCACTACCAATTTTATGCAAATTCTTTTAGGCCTTTATCTCCTGAGATGATGGATATCATTGATTTACACTTTCTAATCTTAGGCACTACTTACACTTTGTATTTAAATTCATGAGTTTGTGTGTCTGCTGCGTTTTTAGAGTAGAGTATTACTTACTTACAATAGATATCATCTTCCACGTTATAAGAACGTCTCGTCTTTACAGCTACTTCATTCAGGTGTTATGCCTAAAGTTTGAGAAGACCAGCCTCTGTGAGGAAGGACATTGTGCTGATCCATGACATTTACCTTCATCGCTCTGAAGTCCTTCCTCATTTTCTCAGGTATTCCTGTCATAAAGGACAACTCCGGCACCAAAAGGATCTCTCCAGTAATGATTTGCTGCAATAAAGCAATATTATAACATTATCTACACAGTAAAGTGTGTTATACTCACATAGACAATTTCCTATGCTTTTTCATGCTTCTGATGGACTAATGAACCTTAAGTATTCATTTGTATAACAAATGTTAATGTACTGATGCCTGTGACATGGGGAAATTGGGACAGTTTACATGACAAGCCAAATTTTTAGTTGTACAGCAAATTTGTGATGTTTTTTTTTTGTTTTTTTTTAGGTGCGTTCAATGTTCTTGTCTTAAAAATTCTGCAGACTGCAAGACTTATTGCAGCCACAAGGTGGCAGTCTGATTAAAGAATTCAGTTCATGTCAGCTGTGTGGTCTACTACTGTAAAGAGATTTATAGCTGATATCATGTCTTGAGAAATGATATGATAATTAATCCATCTCATATTTTGTTTTTTTACATTCATTAATTGTATTTCTTTTACTACTATTATAATCATTGTTTTATTTCTGTTTTATTATTAAGACTGTTAATAAGGCAGAGGGGAAAACTTCCCCAGTCCTGATGCAAGTCTTGTAATATATACTGCGTTACCAAAATAAAGAATTACAAAAACAAAATAAATAAATAAACTGATCCCGAAGAGAGGTTTTACCTTCCCTCCTGGTTTGGACCTCTCCTTCGGCCGATGCAAGAGCAGAGGTTGGTCCATCTCTTTGATTGTAATCCCGTAGTTCTTGCTGTTAAAATGTGGAAGTGTAAGCAAGTTTTTAAATGAAAGAAAAACACCAAAAAAAAAAACACCAACAGGGAGATAAATTTAAGATTTTCACCACTCTCACCATTTTACTATCACCACTTTCCATGCAAGATTACACAAAAACGCCCGCTTTGCTCCCCTGCTCAGATTTGATCAATTCACGGACAGAGCCGTCTCACCTGTAATATTCCACAAAGGTGGTTTTTGTGCCATTCATCAAAGTGAAGGTGTCTTTGGGTGACTTGTCCCACTCAACGGCATCAATGCGGTAGGTGCAGTTGTTGTAGCGGGTGATGACGATGCTGCCGATGAGTTCTTTGGCACACTCGTCTCGGAAGTTCTCTCTGCTCTGTTGGTACAACGTGTTCCTGGCAGACACCAAGAGCCAAAGGTCAGATCTATTGTTGTGTTTTAATCTACAGACTCAACAACCCTGTTGCATTAGTGTAGTTGCTGCCCTTCAACTTACCTCTTAATACAACCACATTCCCAGAGTGGTGGGTTGTAGTGGTTGGGGGTATTCATAGTTCTGTCTCAGAGGACAGATGCACTAAGAACGTCACAAACTGGTACTGAAATATGTATGACTATATCACAGAATATAGTATTTATATAGCTCTCTGTGGCTTGGTCATGGCATACTCCATGTATGAGCACTTAAAGTTGTATGAGCATGTTACAGTACCCATACAGAAGACACGCACAAGAAAGAATAAATGAAAGATGCACTCTTGATTTTATTAGTGTCCAAAAGCCCCACCCAAAACCGACAGATTTCCTCCCAGCTCATTGTTTTTGGAGCACAATTGAGCCCTAGAGCTGAAATGATTCATCGATTAATTTGATTACTAAAAGGCACCGCGATGAATGTATGAAATAATCTGTAGAATACTCTATTACTAAAATCATCGTTAGCTGCAGCCCAATTGGGCCCTATTACAAAATCAGGAAGTGTAAAAAAGAAAAAAACGATTACTTCCAAGAAAAAGACAAGAGACAAGAAAAAGCGATTCCTTCCCTGTAGCATTGACAACTGAGTGAGTACTTATGCAAATAAAGTATGTGGTCCCAAATAAGTTACAATGAAAAATGCTCCAGTTTTTACAGAAAATATAGTTTACCAAAACTAAACGCTTGCCTTATCAATCCTAACTTATCTGTGAAGGTGCTCCTGTTTGTATGCTACTGCTGATTCGCTGTGAACTCACATGACATCCAGCACAGAGTCATTCCGCAAGACTTTGTGAGATATATCCACACACAGGAACAGGCCTCCATCTGTGCGCTTGATACTGGTCGAATATCCTGGCCACACTTGCAGCCTATAAAAACAGACAAAAAGGACGACGAATGGACTGGAGTTGCTATGTTAGATCGCATCCGATGTCAAAATACGACACAGTACTAACCGATGTTTTCCAAGTATGACTGCGCTTTCTGGATCGTAATGATTTCGACCCACCAGCTTCAGTCCAATCGTTTTCATCACCCTTGACAAACAAGAACACTAAGAAAAACATCCTCAAACTTGGCCAAAATTTCTAAACCTGAATTGAATTTTGTTTTTAATTACATAAATACTTTTCATGTTAAATGTTTTACCTGCCGTAGAAGATTATTGCCATCTGTCTCCATACTAACAACTAAAAAGTTTCAATTTGATCATTTATGTGTAATCTAAAAGTAACGTGGTTCATCTCTGATGAAACAGTGTAGGCGCTTTTATTAAAAATACCTCCTGAGCACCACATTGTAGAAGGGGATGCATAGGTCTGAGCTGGGTGGCAAAATCTTTGTCATTTGGATTTTGATCTGTATTTCCTCATTATCAGTCCGTCTCAAACTCTTGAGAAGCACCACCTGCAGGTCATAAAGATATAAAAAAAAAAAAAAAAAACGAAGATGGAATCAGTGTTAAGTTCAGCAAAGTGACAGATTTGCACTATATCGTTCTGCACAATAAAAATGCAATACATTTAAACTGTCCCCCATCCACACTACTCCGTTTTAGTTTACAAACGGAGAATTAAAACAAATACGATCTCCGTCCACACCAGTGTTTTAGCTGCGTATCAGAGTTGATCTCCATCTACATGAAAACGACTGAAAACGCACATCTATTGGCAGTTCAGGTACACTGGGCATGCGCGTGCCGGTGTAAACATGTAGCAGATGGTCTATTCCGTAGTTACAGAAGATTTGGCGAAAGAATAAAGAAATGCAGATAAAGAATTTTTTTTTCTTCATGCCCCAATAACGAGCTGGGACTGGTGCGGCGGAAAACAGACTGGGAGTCGTTGCAAAGTGTCATTTGCACGTACAGAATATTTTAATAAAAATACCAACTCAAAAACTGTCAGTAGCATCGTGTTTCTGCTTTGCATGACTTTTAAGACACTAAAGATTTTTAAGACACTCTTCACTAAAACGCCCTCTGGAGTTTCAAAACGCAAAATGGAGACGGCAGCGTCTCCAAACTTCTCCGTTTTCACCGTTTTAGTTTGGACGGGAGGTGCAAACGTAGCAAATGGTCTCCGTTTTAATTCGAAAACGCAGTAGTGTGGATGGGGCCTAAAAACTCCTTTTGTAGGAACTCATTGACATACACAAGTTATTAAAAACTCTCAAAGATTTACCTGTAAGACAACAATGCAGTTGCTTTCCAAGCTAAGCTTCAACCAGGAACTGTCCTTCTACAATAAGACAATTAGCTACACAACTAATAAGGGTGATACTTACATCATTCATTTTCACAGGCAAGTAGAGTATGGAGCCATCAAAAGCTACTACTTCCCCTGTGGTCGGGCGGTGATCTTTCATCATGCCAAAACGCATTCCCATCGATTCAACATTTGGACTGAAAGATGATAATGAAAATACACTTCCAAGATCACGTACAGTGTTTAGTAGCTTAGGAATAGCCTTGTGGCACAAAGCATGGAAAGGGTGGCTAAAACTTCACACATTCAATTTTATTTATTTGCACCAGTATATTTTTTTTGTTGAATGGTTGCTAAATACAAGAAGCACAGATTAAAAATGACATGATACTTACGTGAACGTTACATGGTACTGATAAACTGCTTCATTCTTGCAATGAATCGGGATGTGATTTGAGCCGATCGTTATAGGAGGTCCTTTTGTTCCAGCCTTATTAGTTGGCTCACTGACCAGGAGAAGATACACGCACAAAGATCATTTCAGCACCAAGTCACAGAAACAGTCACCTACTTTGTGTTAATTAAAAGCGAATAGTGGTTCTGACACAGCGAGCCAAAGAACTAGCACTAATAAAAGGCTGACTGATCAAATGTATTGTGCCGCCTCGCATCTGTAAAATGTTACATACACCACAAAGACTACAGTCAAAGGCCTGCTGACAGCCAATGTGCACATACTGTTCGCCCTGTGCATCTGTATATTTATGATCAATAAAATAATGCATCATATGCTCACAATAGAAATGGTCTACTTTATCATGTATGAAGAATAGGAGGATGAGTTAAGCATCTGATATGCTAGAATTTACATTTCATTTATTTAGCTGATGCTTTTTTTTTTTTTTTTCCTCTCCTCATCAAATCAAAAGTGACAGCTATGTGAATACAACCCAAGAGATGCAAGAATCTAGGGCTGGCCCCAATGTCACTGAGCTTCGAAGCTTTGACAGCAATTTACAGCGAGTAATCCAAGCTTCGACGGCTGCTACTGGCGGTTACGTTACGCCAGCTGTAAGTGGGCTGTAATTTTTGACGAGATACAGCTATGCATTTCATAGATTAAAGCAGAACACAAGGATGAATGCCCAAAAGGTTCTGGCAATGACATGAGTGAGGGAGAAACTTGACGGGGGAGAATTAATGAACGGCGGTCACTGACTGCTTGTGAGAGAGAGCACATTGTTTCTTTATTTACCTGTAGGCTATATAATAACAGCACATTATTACCAAAAGGTTGTGTTAAATAACTTCTCTCGTGGCTAGGCTAGTAGACCCAAGTGCAGGACTAAGAGGGAGGAGACTGGAGTTAGATGAAAAGAGGAATATTTATTGGATTGTTGGAAGTGATCAGAAATTGAGCCACGGAAGAGCGAGACTGACTGAAAGACTCGATGCTGTAGAACCAGTTTGGAGGCTGTTGTGCAGAGCAGGTCCAGAACAGATCACAGGAATATATTATTCCTGGCGGGGGTCCAGGGAGAGCAGACGGGATGAGCATCGTTTCCGGTAGAGGAAAGTAACAACGCCTTATATAAAGTTTGTAACTTATCTTTATAGCCTACTAAATGTTCCTGAACTCCATAACTGCCATTTTTACCACTCAGTTTAAAGTGCTCCCACAGAACTGAGGGCTTCGTTTTGTTTTCCTTTGATGTGAACTGGAGCATGTGAAGAGGTCAATCAATATTCGAATCCCAAAAATGAAAATCGAATGTGTACGCAGGGATCGAATATTTGGGTCCAACCCTACAAGAATCATGTAACTTCACAAATAACAAATATCCTGAACTGCTTCAAGAGCCACATTTAGAAACAATATGCGTTAACAATAGACTCACAGCCAGTTACAGTAACGGGGAGCTGGGGTACAGCTTGGTGATGTCAAGGCCCTAAGAGGTAAATGCAAAGTAGATAGTAGAGTATGCTTACCGCACTGCCTCCATTTTCAGCTCCATCTTTCCTGGAGCAGCGGGAAGCTCCAGCAACTCTTCAGTGGCGGGCACTGGAAACAAAGGTCCTTCAAATTATTTACATTTTAAAATCTTGTATTTTTTCAGAAGTCCTTGTCATATTATAAATATGACTACAATTTATAATAAACTGGGTTTACATATACTGTAAAACTTCAATTAATAGCCGAGTCCCAAATAGCAGACAAGCCGTTTACTGGCCTGTTGTGGGAACATAGGTCTCAATCAGACGCCCGGTCTGGTTTTTATAAAACGTTTTTTTGATGTATAAAACCTCTTACAGCCCACCGGGTCACAGCTAGTTCTAAGCTGCTTGGATCATGAATACAAATATAAATGTTTAAACTTTTGTCAGGACAGACATGCAACACATTGTTAGCCAGCTAATTTTGGGGAAACAACAACCCCCAAAGTCTAATTCACTCAGATTTACCAGCATGGTAAACACGAGTGACGAATAAGTTGACCAAACCTCTGAAGCGCTTGTAAACCCCGAACATGTCCATTCCTCGACTATTTACATTCCTTTAGTCTGTAAGGTCCACCAATCAAAACGGCTTTACATAAAAAATGAATTTATGCTTTGAATACGGTTATGTGAGGTCGATTGCTCACCGTCTGCTAACTTCTGCCACACTTTTCTCTGCTACCTGCACCGTGTTGTTTGGTACGTTTGTTTTCATTGCCGGCCTTGTTGCTACCTTGCTGCCTGCAAAATAAAAGTGCCTAAGCGGTCTGTCGGAGCTCGATCAAATGAATGATTGGTAATTTATGTTATTTGATATCACCCCCCCCCCCAACATTCATACTGGTGGAAACAAACAGTTTGATGGCTTATTTTACATCTTTGCTAAGCAAGAGTTTTGTGCGAAAGGAATTAAAAACCCAAATATAGGCAGGGTTCGTTCAGTGATTTTAGTAAATAAAACCCTAGGATATTAACTGAAGTTTTACAGTAAGCACCTTTATGTAAAATCATGTACTGCATTAGAAAGGCTGAACAAAAAAAGCACACTGCATTGAAACATTTGTCATACATTTATTTGGTTAACATTGCATTCATGAAGGCTAAATATTCACTTGAACGAGGCTGAAGGAAACATTTTATGTTTGGCAAATTGTCAGTCGTTCCCTACCTGTACAGGAAGTCTGAGATGGTCGGGCCGCTTGCTGCTCAGAGGCAGGAGAAACAGGCTTGATATGACCCGGAGGAAATGGAGGTAGAGGGTGTCTTCCATGCTCCGGCATCGCTGCTCTTGTAAGTCCCACCATCGTCAGAGGGGCCAAACCACGGCTATGGAAACTGTAACAGGTCAGAGCTGAACGTCAGCTTTCCCAGTATTGATAATGGTTGCAATAGGTGCTGACCCCGAATAGTCGAAGATTCGATAGAATGAGCCTGATTCAACTACCTCAACTATAATCTCACAGTTGAATCGTTGCAAAGGTGTTATGAAACAAGGATCATACCATTTCGGTTGTATGGGGGTGTTCAACGTCTGATTTTACTTTCCTTTTTTTCAAATACTTTAATGTACAGCCTGTTATGATATAACATAGATTTTACAACTAACTTATCCCATATCTGTCTATCCTGAATCAATTATAGTTAAGGCAATCGGGTCGGTGCTTATATTGCACAGGCTACATGCCTTTGAAGACGGATCACGTTTTATTGATTTTATTGCAAATATTTCCAACAACAAACCTATGCTACCCTCAAATGGAAGTTACAAATGTTTCAGTGTTTCCGACAGGATTGTGTGAGACTTTGATGGGTGGACATTGAACCTCTAGGGGGGTCTGGGGAAATGTTTCAATGGTTACAGGGATGAAGAAGGGGGTGAATAATCACCGAGTGTTTTTGGGACTAGTAATTATCTTCAGTTTCATTGTGTTGTTATTACTTTAATTTTTTCTGAGCTGCTGAAAATTGTAATTTATTCTTTCCTATTCTTTTTTTAAATTTAATTGTGATGATTAGAACTGACAACTAATGAAAACCCCAAATTCAGTATTTCCGAAAATTAGAATATTAGTTGGGGCTCCTTTTGCCTGAATTACTGCAGCAATGTGGCGTGGCATGGAGTCGATCAGTCTGTGGCACTGCTCAGGTGTTATGAGAGCCCAGGTTGCTCTGATAGTGGCCTTCAGCTCTTCTGCATTGTTGGGTCTGGCGTATCGCATCTTCCTCTTCACAATACCCCATAGATTTTCTATAGGGTTAAGGTCAGGCGAGTTTGCTGGCCAATTAAGAACAGGGATACCATGGTCCTTAAACCAGGTACCGATAGCTTTGGCACTGTGTGCAGGTGCCAAGTCCTGTTGGAAAATGAAAGGTGCATCTCCATAAAGTCGGTCACCAGCAGGAAGCATGAAGCGCTCAATTCAAAACCCACAGTTCAACCACCAATTAATGAGCCCTTATCTCAGTTCAAATCTTTCTATTTCCCGGTAAGCAAAGAAAAAATACTCAGTTTGAGGTTCAATACAAAAGTTGGCCAATGAAAATAAAACGAAGTGACGCCTCTCGTGTTTAATAGACAGGCTTAGTAATTCTCTGACAATACCGGAGTCCCCCTCCTCCCCCACAGCCTCCGATGCTGGTAAGCAGCGCACTGGCTGTAACTCGGGACAGACTTGGCCTCTATCGGACTTGTGCGTTTGGTATGAAACGCCGTTTCACAGATATTTCCTGAGCTGACTGATGGCTGTGTGTGAGACACTGGCGCTGATCGGCACAATACGCTTAACTTACTACACGTGTCTTTCTGTTGTGCATTTTTCCTGTCCGTCAAAGTGAAGGATGGCCCGACGATTTCAACCACCAATCTACCTGCGGGTCATTCCGTCTGTGACACTTCTGTAGTGTCAGCTTCTGTCAAGCTTAAGGCCATTATACAACAGCGTAGTGTAATCGCAGTCTTTGCAATTAGAAAATCTAGTTTTATCATATCGCGATAATATTGCAAAAGCTGTTAATTACTTATTCGATTAGTCAACTAATCACGATTATTTTTGTCACCCCCTAACCCTAATAAAACCACTTAATTAAATATCTTTCAAGTGAGTAACTGGTCTCCAACAAACTAGCTAACGTTAACCATTAAGTGAAGTTTACTACCAGGGAAGACGACAAGACAGCGTAGGCTACTCCTATAAGTCATGATTTACTACTGCACTTAACGTGTTTGCTAACTAAAAGAGCATTCCCTTAGGCAGCATAATCTATGAGACATCAAAACCAAGAAAACAGATAACTATGGAGACGTTGCTCCAAGATAACCCAGGCTTTATCCCTCAAAACAATAAGCTCATAATCTGATTTATTGCCAAGCAGGTTTTAACTTTAAAACTTAACTTTTTAAGAGAGATTTTTGCTTTGGAACTATATAAAAGTAAATTAAAAGCAGGTACAACTGTACACTAACAACGTAATGTCTATTTATTATAATAAAGCAACCGTCCCTTTTCATACTACTTCTGTAGTCTATTTTTTCCTTTAGTGCTTCTAAGTTTTATAAGGGGAGAACGTTCTGTAGGCTACATCATGAACATTTAAACTATCTTACATTTGTGGCCTTCCCTTCTTGCTCTGTTGTTGCTGCTACTGCAGTGGTCTGAGTAACTGGGACCAGAAGGCTCTGTGGATGAGACTGGCTGGCCGGCTGGCACCGCTAACCTCGCGGGCGCTTGTGGAGCTTCAACCTCGAAAACGTTTGAGCACATTATTTTATTCAAGTTCCACACAGTTGATTTCTTGGCTCAAAACTTCTCAAAAGTGTTTTTAGTGATGAAATAGCGTACAAAACTTGTAAAAACAAAAAAAGTTTCCGTTACTTTCCAGTACTTCTCTTACTTTCTGCTTCTCGCATGAATGCTGCTTCTTCAGGAGTTGTCTTACAGTCAAGCAGTCATGGCAGACAGTGGAAGCGATACTGCCCCCAGCATTCCATGTAGTGCATTGCAGTTAGAAATGAACAACCAATGAAATCTCACGTCGACGGATTTTCATAATTGATGTCGTCGATTATGTCGACTAATCGTTGCAGCCCTACCGTGTAGTGCGTGTAGTGGCATGTCTGTTCATCTTCTGTTCTGTGCTTCACGGAGACGTGGCTGTGTGAGCTGATACCGGACTCCGCGCTGCAGCTGGCAGGCTTCCAACTGTACAGAGCGGACCGCGACACAGAACTCTCCGGCAAAACAAAAGGTGGAGGTGTCTGTTTTTATATTAACAATGGCTGGTGTATAGACTTTAACAGGGGAAATCTCAACCAAGAACTCCCCAAATACAGACAGTTTATAAAGTGTCCAACCCGAGAGGGGGACACTTTGGATCACTGCTACACCACAGTTAGCAGTGCTCATCACGGTGTCACACGCGCTCCACTGGGACTCGGATCACGTGATGTTCCATCTGATTCCTGCTTACAGGCAAAACTAAAAGCTCTGTAAACCTGTAGTGAGGACATCAAAGAAGTGGACTAGTGAAGCTGTTGAGGACCTCCAGGCTGTACTGACTGGGATGTTTTCAAGAAGGCTACCAACAACCTGGATGAGTTTACAGAGGCTGTGACGTCCTACATCATCTTCTGTGAGGACAGCTGCATTCCAACACGGACCAGGGTGAGTTATAACAATGACAAACCCTGGTTCACAGCTAAACTCAGACAGCTAAGATTGAAAAAGGAGGAGGCATTTAGGAGTGGTGACAGGGCCGGGTGCAGGGCGTTAAAGTACAGGTTTGTTCTTCAATTCCATGTTTATAAATTTCCACATTTATTTATGTTGACTGTATGTTTGTCTACGTGTAGCACCTTATCACCGCAGCAAATTCCTTGTATGTGTAAAACACTACTTGGCAATAAAGCCTAAAAACCTTCTGATTCTGATTCAGAGGTGTTCAATGAAGTTTATTTATATATTATCATTTTTGGGGGGATATTCCATCATATTGACAGATGTTTCTGATATTTAGTGTATGTTAGTCAAGCCACTGGATCTTTCTACTCCTCCCCCACCTACCTGCTGCCTCTGCCCATAACCTCTTCAGGTTGGCTGATGCTTTCTGGGCTGCCGATGACACCTGTTGGACCCTGCGGCTTCATGTCTCCCATTTCTCCAGCTGCTCCTCTTCCTGCAACAACAACAACAACAAAATAAAAATAACTCCGTTCTTATGGATGGTGTTTGAGTTTTGCCAATATCCTCCTTACCTTGGTTAAACAGGGGTTGCTAACTACCTGCCTTTGTAAACAAATTTCTATTTTTGGGAGAAACTTAATTTAATGATATTGATTTTTAACGTATTTTCAGCAACTCCCCAAACAGAGAGAGGAAAGGAGGAAACAAAGAATAAATGTTGACGAGCAAGGGGTCAAAGAACGATTTGAAGATTGGCTTTGCAATGTTAAAAGCAACTAGGACCATCTTATTCTCTTTAAATTTATATTTTTCCCTTTATTTTTCTATAAAAAAAAACAACACCACCACACAAATTGTTTTTACTGGAGCAAAATTGTACTTCTTATTTTCACTCTGTTAATAAGTCATTTTCAGAAATACAGATGCTGTTTTACAGCAGTGAAAATAGTATAATCAATGAGTATAACAATATATAATTATAGGAATTAATGTTTTCTGTGTTTTAGGTCAATTTCACCCCATGCAGTTTCTTTCTGCCACGAGAGGGTGCCAAAGCTTTATGCACTGCACCTAAAGCTCCCCTCCATTTAAGGAAGATACTGATTACTAAGGAAAATCATCACAACTCATTATAGTTAGACAGAGTTCAGCAACTAACTGTAACTATAAAACCAATAACTGGTCCCAGTCCCATTTAATTGTTTCCATTAAAATCTAAATCTTTTAATACAGACCCATTGGTTGTGTTCCTCTTCCCCATGAAGTCAATGAGGGCTCAATGCCCATTCCTCTAAACATTGAGACCAATGCTGATGTTTGCCCAAAGGTAGGCATGTCACCCTGTAAGCAGACAAAAACCACAGCAGCTCTTAAAGTCGGGCAAAACAATATTTAGAAAATGAAAACATGCCAATTGTATCTGCGTATAGACACATTTCTGGTTCAGACCTCTTTTGGTAGGTCTCGTGGCGTGGTTTCACACAGGGGTGTCTGTCTGTTCTGTGGCTCCAGACTAGGCAGGACTGCACCTCTTGCCGCCTCTACCTTTGGTTCAGCCGCTGGGAAGACCAGCCCTCTGGCTCGGCCAACTCCTCCATCAGGCTGTACCAGCAGCCATCTAGCTCGTCCAAACACAGGTTCAGTTCCGGGCAGAGTTACTCCTCGTCCTTGTGGGGTATCGCCAGGAGTAGGAAAATCTCTGGCTCGTCTTCTACCAGACTCTTCTGTAGAGAGTGGCAGCCCTCTACTACGTCCTGCAGATGGCGCCTCTGGCTGTAGTCCTCTTCCACGTCCCAGCCAAGAAACGCCCGTCATACTACTGTGGTCAGGAGGCTTGTTTGGATCCATTTGATGAACTTCTGGTATTGCCAGTTGACACAACAATGGGATAACTGCAGGGAGCAACCCACAGAAGGAAAGTTAGCAGTAAGTCTCATTTATCATATACAGTAGCTACTACTAGGCCTGTCATGAAAATGACATTACTGACTTATCATACGATACATGGACCGCGATCATTTTTGCAGACCTCGATATTGCCCATTGCGTTTACACACGTTTGTTTACACAAAAAAGAAGATCGCAACATTTCAGGCTGTCCCGCTGTCCTCTCATCTGCTCACTGTGTTAGAGGCAGGGCTCAGGCAGCTCCTCCATATTCACAGAGCAGACAGCGGCAGGCGAAGATGACGTGAGGCTATTAGGGGTTTTATTTTTTTCCCATAAGACTGTTAACTCCAGCCACACAGTTTCCACAGGGCGCGGCTGCAGGAGCTGATTGTGGCCATTCTAGACAATGCTTGCGATTCCACCAGATGCGCCGCAGCACATTTCAGAAGCATAGAAGCGGTTCTCTGCTCCGTGGAGAATACACACAGGAAGTCAAGCAGGATAATTATAATTAGCAGGATTGTATATCAACAAAAAACTGAACAAGTCCACTACATCAGACAGGTAAATCTCTCCAGACGGTTCCAGTGGGATTTGAAGCTGCACAGAGGTGCAGGTTCTTTTGGATGTTTTTTGACATTTCAATTCTAATGTCTAGATTAATCTAATTCCCAAGAATAAAAAAATCAGTTACTCTTTGAAAGGGTGTACTTTCTCTATTATGCTATTATGTTATCATTAGAAATAGAAGTGGTTTTAAAATAACTATCATATTGCACTGGGCTTCTCATTAGGAAAGCCAAGGTCTCCACCAGAGGTCCAGGACCCCCTATTACACTGATGTAGGGCTGCAACTAGGGCTGAGCGATTAATCGTTTTCAAATCAAAATTACAATTTGAAAGAACGGACAATGAAACATCGGGATGGACAATGTCATCGTGTTGTCTTATGTGCATGTGTTGTGGCACAGAAAAAAAATTGGTAGATTATTAAGTTACGTTACAAGTCGCGGTGGATATTTTACACACGGGCCAGGTAAAGCAACGGTGAACACACAGTGCAGATGTTGGTTTCAGTTGTTTGATAGGCTACGTCATTAATAAGCTGACGTGTGGCTCACCTGCTGCCATGATAATAGATCGCGGGTGCAAATATACAGAAAAAAAGACATTCTCAGGCTTTTAGGCGACTTTATAAAATACACTGCTGGTGGAGAAAACGGAGCAGACGGGTGGAGAGAGACAGAGAGAGGCGGGGCAAGCCTAAGGTAAAGGTGTGTGTGGGTGTGGGGAGAAGAGAATTCTGAGGCACGTGCAAAGCATACTTACAATCAGCATGGACGATGGCATTGTCTATCTGCCCAACCCTACAGGACGTGTAACGAAACTGGAGGAAAACGTCGGATAATGGCGGCAGCCGAACAGACACAGGCAGTATTGTCCGGCGTCAACTCACACTGAAGTGTTTCAGCAGCAGGGCGTTTAGCTTACACGTTGTTAATTTGTCATTTTGTGTACTTCAACTATGGATAAGAGCTCTCTGTTAGCCTATTCCTCTCTGTCCAGGCTATCGTTACATATCCACATGAAGCATTTTAGAATAAGAGTCTGATTTTGCTTATTTGTGCTTCTACTATGATTAAATAGGCTACGTAGTTAAATTGTTTCTTTTTTTGGTCTGTTTTAATTGTTGATGTACGGTCAGGAGTCTGCAAACTGTTTTATTTAGAAAATTGCCTCTATGCCATTCTGTGTCTGACTTCCTGCTCGATTCATCTGCTCAGTCCTGCTTTACACAGCTTCGATTAAAATCGATTCGTTCATGACGTCATTGGGCCGTAACGACACTGTCAGCTTAACGGACTAAAGTGATGTGAACAATAAAGTTACTAAAACAACATCAGCGCTGAAACCTAAAACCTCCAGAGTGTGGCAGCACTTCACTCTTCACTCAGCCAAAAAGATTGTTAACTGCAGTGTCTGCAAAGCTGAGCTTTCCTGGAAACACCGGAGCATCTGAAGAGGAGGCGCGTAACGTTGTTGCTCTGTGGATGATGGAGACTCGTCTCGGTAAGCTAGTTAGCGAGCTAGCTTCCCATTAAAGCCGTGTTACTTCACGAGATGAGCTGTAACGTTTTCTATAGTTTGCTTTGGACAATTTGATAGAATTTTAAATGGCGCTGAGAATAGCGCATTTATGACACACAACGGCCGCGTTCACATTCCAGATGTGCCCTGAATTTACAATCATAAACGATGCATCGCTCTTGGCGACGTTCCCAGCTGGAGAACGTGTTGCTGCCGAGTGCACGAGATTAGACAACACCGGACTATTTCATACTTTCTAAAGAGAAGACGGTTCTCCTGTCAATGCGTGAGGCGGTGGGTAATCCGCCCCAAACTCCCTTAAAAAAATCTGTGTTTTGTGAGATGTTGAGTTAGGGGAAAATATATAAACGTTGTGAAACGCTGGACTACTATAAAATAGTTAATTAATAATTATAATAATGATTGAGGCCCCTGTAAATTTGGCAAATGTAATGCATGACGTTATTCCTTTCTTTGTATATGGTGTCAGTTTGTCCCGGTGTGTTGCAGTACTGGTGTGCAAACTGCTCAGTCACTAAACAGCAGATCAGCTGCTGAGATCAGGACTTGATTTCAGAGGAACTTTCTGTTGCTGCAGCAGAAACTTCATTAAAAGATGCATTTTTGAAAGCAGTATTTATTTTATTGTTGTTAGTTAGAGCCCGGTGAATAGAGAGAAACGGGTCATTAATAAGGCTTGTTCAGCAGTAAATGTACAGTAGAAGTTACAGAGGCTCAGGACTAAAGAGGAGCTCCCATGTGTTGCTGCCAACTGTTGAATAAAGTGAAGGTTGGCCCCAAAGTTACCACTGACTTCGGCCCTGGAGATAAACTGTCGCTCCTGTGCTTCCTAAATCTTGTCATTGTATTTTTGTAAAAACTATTTCAAATAACAAAAGAAGTTTTTTACACTTGTGTTTTAGATGCTGCGTTTTTGTGCTTACATGTCGTTTGTTTGATGATGTTTGTTCAGTAATTATAACTATTGAAGTTCCTCTTGATAATCCTACCGATAAATAAACTAGACTCCGTAGGGCTGAATGATTAATTGCATTTGCGATATTATCACGATGTAATAAAACAAGATTTTCTATTCGCAAAGGCTGCACTTACACTCTGGTCACATGACACCCAAGAGGAAAGCAGATGCACGTTACGCTGTACCTTGCCTTCTTGTTGTACAACAGCCTTAAACTTGACAGAAACTGACACTACATAAACTTTAGTGTCACACAGGGAATCAAAGTAGCACCCGCGGATGACTTGGTGGTGGTGGGTGAAATCATTGGGCCACCCGCGGCTTTGATGGACAGGAAAAATGCACAACAGAAAGACACATGCAGTAAGGTAAGTGTAGTGGCTATTTGTCCATAAACTTAAACAAAAACAAATAATAACAAACTTCTCAAATGGCCACTTGAGGCTACGTCATGGTTAGGCTTTACGCAGGTTCAGAGGTACCAAAGCAAGGTAATGTCCATAACAAGACTGAGTTTGAGGAGGTTTATTCACACACATAAGCAAGCTTACAGACATTTCTGCTGCCTCTCTCACGCTGGTAAAAAACCATATGCCCTCGTGCCTGCGGCACCTCTCACCTTGACCTACTTATGCAAATGAACATAACACCATGTGACCAACAAACGACAATGCAAGTAAAGCATAACTACAAAATAAACCAAATTAACTTTAACAAGAAAAGAAAAGAAATAAATTGGGCTATAAATTAACTTAAGCCAAAAATAAACACAAATAAGAATATAGCTCCAACAACCCAGCCCCTAATTGTAACGGTACTTTACCCACAATTAACCTTAGCTTTAACACAAAGGAGCTATTTTCTAATTGTAGCTTAAACATTAAACTGGAATCTTCACATCTTCAGATTCTCCATATCTGAAAGAAACAAACAGATGGAAGACAGAGATAGGAGAAAGAATGAGTCGTCTAGTCAATTATTAGCCTCCAAGAGAAGACAGAGCTTGGTTATTGGTCTGTCCAGGATGCTGATCTTCGTTTGGACCTTCACAGAGCGAACCAGTCCTCTAGAGTCAGCTGTGGTGCTTAGAACTCTGCCCATCATCCATGAGCCTCTTGGAGCTGCGGCATCAGCGATTACGACAATATCTCCTGGAATAAAGTTTCTCTTTTGCTTCGTCCATTTTTGCCTTTCTTGCATTACAAGCAAATACTCTGCTGTCCACCTTTTCCAGAAAAGCTCCGCAACGTACTGCACTTGCCTCCATCTCCTCTTAATGTACAGATCAGATTTCTCGAACAGACCTAATGGCAGAATGGGCTTGCCTTTTAACAGGAGAATGTGATTTGGAGTAAGCGCTTCTAAATCATTTGGATCTTCTGAAGCCTTAGTTATTGGCCGGTCATTGAGTATCGCTTCCACCTCGCAAAACAGCGTTTGCAGACCTTCCTCGTCCAGCAGTTGATGTCCAACAACAGAGGTAAGTACACTGCGCACAGAGCGAATCAGACGCTCCCAAACGCCACCTTGGTGAGATGCAGCTGGGGTGTTAAAACTCCATCTCATTCCTTCCTGCACAAAAGTCCTTTCAATTTTAGAGTGATTTAAAGCGGCCAATGCTTGCCTCAGTTCCTTCTTCGCACCAACAAAATTTGTGCCGTTATCTGACCTTACACTTGTCACAGGTCCTCTTCTGCAGATAAATCTTCGCACAGCATTGATGCAGGAGTCCGTGTCGAGGGAATGCGCCACCTCAAGGTGTACTGCGCGGCTACTCATACAGGTAAATATCACTCCATATCGCTTCAGCACAGTTCTACCTCTCCTCACCTCCAATGGTCCAAAATAGTCCACTCCCGCATTTGTAAAGGGTGCGTTATCAGGCACAACTCTTTCCTCCGGTAAGTTGGACATCTTCTGTTCTCCAAGCTTTCC